AACCCTAACCCTAACCCTAACCCTAACCCCTAACCCTAACCCTAACCCAAACCCTAACCCTAACCCTAACCCCTAACCCTAACCCCTAACCCTAACCCTAACCCTACCCTAACCCTAACCCTACCCCTAACCCTACCCCTAACCTTAACCCTACCCCTAACCCAACCCTAACCCTAACCCCTAACCCTAACCCTAACCTAAACCCTAACCCTAACCCCTAACCCTAAACCCTGACCCTAACCTAACCCTAACCCCTAACCCTAAACCCTGACCCTAAACCCTGACCCTAACCTAATCCTAACCCCTAACCCTAACCCCTAACCCTAACCCTAATGAGGAGATGGAAATGCAGCCTCTGTCTTCATGGAGCCTCGAGGTGACAAGTCTCTAACCTCTGTGTAACTGATAACACTGAAGAGCCACTATTATTCCCCTTACTTCACAGTTGAGGAAACAGTATTCCTGAGGTTAATTTGCCAGTGGCCATTCACCCAAGAAGCATGCCCAGGTCTGGCACGTCTCAGAGTTCACTGTCCTCTAGGGTATCGGTCTGCACCTCCCAGAGTTTATGTACAGCCCCTCCCAGACCTCCACCTGCCCCTATCTTCCATCATGTGGCCATTGCCGTCACCCAGGAAGAGAAGAGGAATCTCAGAGAGGGTAAAGAACAATTGCAGGAATGTGTCCTAGTAGACACAGGAAGCTCAGGGTGGTGTGCTCACTTCAGCCTCAGCCCAGGGAAGTATAAAGCCTTACTGATTGAAAGATCTGTTTTGTGTCATGTCTCCTCAGTAAAATTGTAAATTGTTAAGGATGAGGAAGAGAAGCTTCATTTCTTTTATTTCTTCCTGAGTCCTAGAAATGTATTAAGCACTTGAAATGTAAATTGAATGTAGTAGCAAATTGGTCCTTGGTAAAAAATAAGCTGTGATGAAAGACAGATTTACCAAGACACGAGCAATGATCAGGAGTCTCTCACCAGCAAATCCCCAAATTCATCCTGTGCTTCCTTTCTAAATTATCTAATGTAAACATGGGGGAAACTGAGGCAGGTGACAACTTTCTTGTCCTGTGATGGTGTTTGCAGACCATCCTCTAACTGCAGTGGACTGATTTCATTTGAAGCAGGCTCTAATGGAAGGTGAGGACAGATAGCCAGAAATCCCCTGAACCTGGTGTCCAAAGAAATGTCTTGCCTACAATATTGTAGATGTTCCTTTTGACTCCCCCATGGAGTCCTAATGTGAGTACGAGGCCACAGCCAGTCCCTGCTGGGACCATGACACACTCAACTTGATATATTTGTGTTTGGTGCATTGGGTGTTTTAAGACCAGAAGAGGATGAATTTATCATCTTGGCTTGTGATGGGATCTGAGATGAGTAATGAGGAGCTGTGTGAATTTGTTAAATCTAGGCTTAAGGTATCTGATGACCTGGAAAATGTGTGCAATTGAGTAGTGGACACTTGTTTACATAAGGGAAGTAGAGATAACATGAGTTTTGTACTAGTTTGCTTTTCAAATGCCCCCAAAGTCTCAGAAGAAACAGTGAAAAATGATTTAGAGTTGGATAAGCACTTGGAATCACGGGTTGAAGGGATTATGGAGAAGTTTGGTGAGGAAAGAATGCCTGATCTTGCCCATGTCATGCGCATCTTGTCTGCAGAAAATAACCCTAATTTGCCTCCTGGGGGAGGTCTTGCTGGCAAGTGCAATGTTATTGAAGCTGGGTATAGTAGACTGAATCCACATAGAGAAAGCGATAGGGGTGCTGGAGATCTAGAAGACCCATGGTAGCCTTAAAAACCTTCTAAAATGCTTTTGATTCTGAAAATTGGGGGGAAAAAACTTTAAATCACAATTTTCTTCAATACAAAGGGAAAATATTATTGTGTACTCCCAATGTTTTGTGATATGAGCAGAAAATCATTAGCATTTTCCATCATTTGTTCATATTTGTGTTTTCTGATAATTGCCACTCGTAGCATTTCCTGTACTACAGTATTTTATGCCAACCTCAGACATACTGGTTACATCTGTATTGAACTTTTGGCCCTAGAAACCTATGAAGTCATTTCACCACAAATCAACAAATTTGTCTGAGGTGCATGGGAATATAGTTAGCTATACTCTGAAGATACATTTTTTTTAAAAACAAAACATAAAACATATAAGCATGTAAGAGTAAAGAATTGTATGATGTGTTCCTTTTTCACCAGGTTGAAAGCCTTTTGCAGCTCTGTGGCTTGGAATTTCATTTCAGCAATTTACTATAGGATATGTATTTATTATTGTTATTTAATTTTATTCCACCAATTTTACCTGTATTACCAAACTGGGTTCTCCAATAATGTCCAAAATGTAATGTTGCCTTGCTTCGAGATAAAGCGTATTTGGCAATTATATGATCAATTCTTAAAAATTTTAATGCATGTCTCTACTACAGCCTTCAATTCTCACTAGAAAATCTTTAAAAGCCAAATGGATTAATTTATGGCTATTTATAATTTGCTTTGACATCTCACTGCTGCAAATTTTTTTAAATGATGAGATTTGCCTTTATAATGTAAATTGTGATTTTTGTTTTACATGTGGGTTTCTATAGTTTTAATTTTTTCAGCTTTTAAGATATAAGTTTTATGTAATTTGGTATTATTTTAATTGTTTGTTATTTTAAAAGCTCAGAATATCCATTCAAATTACTATAAATACATTTAAATTATCTATTTTAGATCTAAGGAAATATTACAGAGATATTTTCATGGGTTAAGTAACTTTTTCTTTTATTACATTGGGCATGGTACAGAGTGACTGTCACATAAAGGTACTTGAAGATTATTAGTTTAATTCTATTTTTACAATAACCTGGAATTCTTCTGAGTTGTGCATGTATTAAATTCAATTAATGCTGAACATAAAGAGTATTTATCTAAAAGAAGTGACTGGGGCAGGAGAAGTAATGAATGTATCCATTTGCACATGGTTTACGTGTTGTGGATGCTGTATAAACATTTTCCTATATGTTCAAATTGTGTTTCCGCAGGATGTAATTGCTCTTGTGTATAGTTAAAATGAGTCATCATCTGGTCCTGTGTGAAAGGGAATTCATGGTATTTTCTGTAACATTTTCCTGAAGCTGTTTCTGGAGGGCCACACATTCAAGTACTGATAGCTTTCCTGATCGTTTGATTTATTGTGCACCTGGTTTTTGGTCTAAAAGGAATTATTGCCACAATATATTTTATTTATTCTTTAGATTTTAGCCTTGCAAGTTAAAGTGCTTTACATGATGATGTTAAAGCTATTCGTGCCTTTACTGGTGTGGAGGAGTTGTTAAAAGATAGGGAATGAAGAATGCAAAATGGTTTATTGTTCAAACTGTCCACTCTGATCCAACCCTGTACTGATAACACTTTCCAATATGATATTGTGATGTTTCATATAATGCAGTGAACACAACCAACTTGTTATCTAAATAAAGATTGATAAAAAAAAGAAAGTCTGGTAACAGTCCCCCACTATGCCTGGCCCCTGGGGTGCTGTACCCCCCTTATTGTTCCCAGCTGTAACTGGCCCCTTGCCTAAACTCTGCCCCATTACTCCCTTAGCATGCCATCACTTTCCTTCAGGGATACTGACTGAGATACAAAAGGTTCTATATCAACATTTGTTGAATGAAGTTAGTAATCTTCAGGCCCATACATGGCTAAAGTTGTCATTGAGGACTTAGTTAAGAAAGAGAGTGGACACACTTCAAAGATGAAGTTTTGGAGTGGGGGCTCCAGTGTGGGGGTACCTGAGAAAGAATCAGCAGTTGGGCTTGTTAAACCTGTGGGTACTCTGCCCCAAGTCATTTGTTAGGCCCGGGGTGGACAGTTTGTGTTTCTAACAAATTTCCTGGTGACACTGATGCTGCTAGACTGGAGACCACATTTGAGAGACAATGCACTGGAGAAATGCCAGAGGCTTTTGTTACTTACAGACTACAAGCCTCATAGGGGCCTTAATTATCTTCAAAGACACGAAAGGCCAAGTACAACATAATCAGTGTTTTATTTTACATTTTCTGACAACTAAATCTAAAGAGAAGTTTCTGATAATGAAAAGGGAAAAAGGAAAACAAAAAGAAAGCAATGACAAGATTAAATGCTGGGAGCAGATGAAGTGGCAGGCAAGGCTCAGCCCTGGGGAGGCTGCACATTCTCAGGGCCTAGCAGCAGGGGCACCCAGGGACCTTGAACCTGAGAAAGACAACAGTTAAGCCACAGCTTGAGAGTCCTGAGGCTTGAGGACAGAAAGGAGCTCCTTCCTACTCCCTCCCAATCTGGGCTGCACAGCTTGGAAAGGGGCAAACGCTTTGCACAGCACATGGAAACATACCCTTGGCTGCTCAGGCTGGAACACTCCACTCTTCACTCACACACACACCCAGCACATGGACACACACCGACAAACTCACAACCATATTAATGACTTCGGGGCTCTGTCATGGACCCAGGTACCAACTGCAGAGCTGAGGTGTGTGTGTCTCCTGAGCACAATGACTAAAGTCTACTGCAGAGACTGGGGGTTGGCAATGCCAAGGACCCAGCAAAGGAGAAACTGCATTCTGTATCACGTTGCTGTGAGAGAAAATTCTACTGAGCCACTGGGGCCAGCTGAGCCCAGTTAAGGAGGTCCAGATGCCAGGTCTGGGATGCTATCTAGCTCTAATGTGGTCCTCAGCAAACAGTCAATGAGGAAGCAGAGTGCCAGAAGGCCAGTCCCCAGAAAGTCCCCCAGCCCTGTGAGGTAGGGGATGCAGTGGTTATCAGGATCCAAGGCCTGGTGCCAAGTCAGCCGAACCATCACCTCTGACAGGTACAGCAGGATTGCCACCTGTCATAAAAGCAAACCAGACTAAATCAGAAAGCAAGTATAGTCAAGAAACACTTGGTAAGTTTCAAGAGCAGATGCCAAAGTGGACTTGTCAACCTAGCCAGCCCCCTTCCTCCAGGCTTCTCCTGGAGCCTGTGATTGAGAAGGTGACCCTCACCTGCACTCTTCCAGCCTTTTCCCAGACATGTTGCCCCTCTGCAGTTGGGACCCTCTCTGTCATATAAGCTGCCCCCTCACTGGGACTTCCGCTTGGGTTTGCTCGAGCCCCTCTCCTTTGGAGCTTGAGGAGTTTAGCCCTTCCTGAAGGCACTGTCGGGCCATCTCATGGCTCCTGAGTTTCTTGTCCAGGCTGACCCCAGACCTTCCTCCTCCCTAACCAGAGCCAGAGCAGCTGCTGCTCAGCAGATTTCTTTGTCTCCCTGAATCCTGACTCAGAGAGTCAGGGACATACTGCAGGTGCAAATGCCATGAGCTCAGGGAAAGCAGAAAATGCTCCATCAGCATCACACTCAGAGAACTGCCCCAGTGCCTGAAGTACACCCTGCAGAAGCCCCAGGACCATGGGGGTATGGGTGGCAAGAGAGTCTGCTGAATACCTTCCCAAAGCAGACAACAGCTTAACCTCCTTTCCCACCATCCTCACTGCTATCCAGCCCTGACCAAATCCCATGCAAGCAGCAGCAGCTCCCCTGGTAGGGGCCTGGGCCTGCCCACCCTCGTCTATGAGGCAGTAACCACTGGAGCCATTCCTCAGCTAGCTCCATGGGGACATGCTGCATCCTCAGGGCTGTTCTTCTCCTCCTAATGATGAGTGTACAGTGTGCAGGTGGTGTGTAGCAGGTGGAGTGCAGGGTACAGCAGGTGCAAAGTGTGCGAATGTCATATGTGCCATGCAGTGTGTACTGTGCAGCATGCAATGTGCTGCATGTGGTGTACACTGTGCAGGGTACAGCATGAAGTGTGCTGCATGTGGTGTGAAGTATGCAATGTGCTGCATGTGGTGTACATTGTGCAGGGTATAAAGTGCAGTGTGCTGCATGTGGTATGAAGTTTCAGTGTGAAGGGTGCAGTGTGCTACATGTGGTGTGAAGTATGCAGTGTGCAGTGTGCTGCATGTGGTGTACACTGTGCAGGGTATAAAGTGCAGTGTGCTACATGTGGTGTGACGTTTCAGTGTGCTGCATGTGGTGTACACTGTGCAGGGTACAGCATGAAGTGTGCTGCATGTGGTATGAAGTTTCAGTGTGAAGGGTGCAGTGTGCTACATGTGGTAAGAAGTATGCAGTGTGTAGTGTGCTGCATGTGGTGCACACTGTGCAGGGTATAAAGTGCAGTGTGCTACATGTGGTGTGACATTTCAGTGTGCTGCATGTGGTGTACACTGTGC